GACTTGTTGTTACTGTGTTTGGCATATCGAATACGTCAGGGGTAGCTTGCCAGGCTTTGCCGTGCGGGAGGGATACTCTCGGTAGCTTAACGGGCTCTTCAAGAGGGACAGAGGAATCAAACCCAGGTGTGCAAGGCAAACGCCCTACCCGCTGTGCTATCGCTCCAGCCCTGAGGAGTAACTACTCTTTATTGGGGGAGGGAGGGAGACCTCCCTCCCTCCTAACAGGTCATTCCATGGGGCCAGGAGAAAATGTCCATTAAGGGGGAGAAGCTGCAGTGGGCTAGCACTTCCCGAACGGAAATATCCGGCACACTGACCCCCTTTATTGGGGAAAAATATTCAGCAGTCCCCTAGAAATCTACCTTCTTCAAGTGAACAAAGAAAAAGTGCCACCGAAGGGCCCCTGAGACTGCAGCATCCCCCAGGATTCTAGCATACCCGCCTCTCCTGTCCCCTGGGCTGAGCACGTGGGAAAAACTAGCCCAAAGGATACTTCACTTGGCAACTTGGGGTTTCAAGAGGCCACAGTCTTGTCTGGTTTCTCAGTATGTCCTTAAACAGAGGACAGGCTCCAGGTGGCCAGTTAAAAGAGGCGAGCGGAGGCTTGAGGGATGGGGGCGAAGTTTACTAGCCTCCCCTGCATTCTGCTCAGGGTCCCGTGTGTATCTCAAGGCTGCAGAACCCTTGGCAATGGGCAAGGCTCTCTGGAAGTTTCTAGCAGTGCTCCTGTCCCACACATCTCTCCTCTAGGAAGCTTTCCTAGAGACTGGTCTCTGCAGGTTCCTGATAGGCCCAGCAGGGGCATTGGCGTCCATCTCTTCCTGTGAGCCCCTGGCATGCCAGCTGGGCAGACAGCAGTCCTGAAACTGGGCTGAGTATCCCTGGATTGAGGCATCACCCACCCCAGCATGAACCACCCACCCCTTCTGTCAGCATGGTACAGAGAAAGTGCTGGAATGCTGGTGCTGGGACAGATGTGGTCACCTATAGTCCTCTGCAGTGGGGGAGTCGAATCACTTCATTCTGTTATTGCTGATATGGCTACAGTGGGTGGGATCTGGTATCACATCTCACCTCCAGAGAGGCCTGTGTTGGACTTCACACAGAGCCTTGGGCTGGATGTCTCAGGCACCAGTATGGGGTACCAGTATGGTTGCTCGAGCAGCATCACTGGAGGCAGGCACCTGGCTCTGAGCTGCACCTTGTGGTACTGTGTCACTCCGGTTCTAACAGAGTATCCAAAGGGTCTTTCCTAGGCCCCAGCTCTTGAGCAGGAGCTATAGCATTTCCAGGAAGGGCTTCATCCTCATATTTGCTCTTCCAGTTTTCCTGCCAGAGGGGAGCCCCAGCAACCCCAGTCAAGTTTTAGTCCCAAGGGTGAGCTACTTTCTCCCAACCACACTGGAAGTGGCTGTGCCCGGTGTATAAGAAACTCCCAAGAGAACAGAATGAGGAAGTGTCATCACTTCTATTTGACTGAAAAGTTAATGGCTCCAAATGCCGATTGTCACCAAGAGGTCATTCTGCCCATTTCTAGCACAAAAAAAGGGTAACTTTTAAGAGGAGACAATGGGGAGAGGAGTTCAGAGATAGTGGAAACCATATGTCTAAAGCAAAGTAAAGCAGGCTAGATTGAATTTATTGACAGAGAATTGAGCTTTGATTCATATTCTCTAACCATACGCCCTTATTCACCAGGACAGTCCTGATCTGGGCTGGAGCGATAGCACAGTGGGTAAGGCATTTGCCTTGTACGTAGCCAACATGGCCGACCCAAGTTCGATTCCTCCGCCCCTCTCGGAGAGCCTGGCAAGCTACCAAGAGTATCTTGCCTGCACAGCAAAGCAAGCTACCCGTGACGTATTCGATATGCAAAACACAGTAACAACAAAGTCTCACGATGGAGCCACTACTGGGCCCGCTCGAGAAAATCGATGAACAATGGGAGGACAGTGACACTGACAGTCCTGATCTATCCCTGTAACTCAGCTTTAGTTTTCAAACTTACTTTTAATGTTGGTGTTTTTGTTTTGTTTTGTTTTTGTTTTTTGGCCATGCTCAGCCTTACTTCCAACTTCACACTCGGGGCTCACTCCTGGCATGGCTCAGAGGAAATGGTGTGGTGTCAGGGATTGAAGTCTGGTCAGTCATGTACAAGGCAAGTGCCTTACCCATTGTACTATCTCTCCAGCCTCATCCAAGTTTAATATTTTGTGGTGCTTTCTTTTACTTTCTGTAAAAGAGTCCAGGCCAGGATGATAAGTTCTACAACACACGTTTCTGAAGGATAGAGGAAGCTGTGGCTGGAGATGATTGCAGAGGAGCATCTGGGATGCCCAGAAGAGAGGAAAGACTTGGATCATGGAGGGAGAGGTGGGCTGAGGGTACCCAGGCAGAGGTGTGTGGGGAACAGAAGTAGAAAGGGTGCTCACAAAGATCTGATTCATTTACCAGAAGTAAACCCTAGATTCTAAAGGAGAGCCAGGTCGTGGAAGGGGGACAGTTTCCACTGCCCTGGGACATCACCTCTTCCCTCGGTCCCAAAACATTGGAGTTTTGAAAACATAGAGTCCTTGTGAAGGGGGAGGAGCTGCAGCCATGAGACAGGGTTCCGGGGAAACTCAGACTCTCTCATGGCTGAGAAAAGACTAAGCCAGGCAAAGCTCAGACCAGCTGAGCAGAACACTCCAGGAGAGCAAGGAAGCGAGAGGCATGAGAGATGACCGGGCAAGAAAACTAAGAATAAGTGTAAGACGCAAGGTCCTTGCCTTGTGCACAGCTGACCCTGGTTCAGTTCCAGGTATCATATATGATCTCCCAAGCATAAGCAGGAGTGATCTTTGAGCACTAACAAGTGTGACCCAAAAACCAGAGACCAAACCAAACCCCAAAGCCTGAATCCCTGGGAAAAAAAATTAAGATAGTTTAAGTAGATTCCCACAGAGCATAATCAGTGAAAGTTCTTTGATGATGACTTTTCAAATACCTGAAGATACTGAGAAAACACAGACATCATGGTCCTGTGGGCCATAAGGTCCACTGTCTGCAGATATCGGGGGGAAGGAAGATGAATGCTCCCAAGGGCCACTGCGGTCCCCACACTTTCCGGGACTCTCATGGCATCTAGGTCTTCCTCTGCCACCCTGAGCTGCTCGTTTCTAAGCACATTTCTCTGGCTGACCTGGGGGCATGGGAGAGTGGCAGGAAGCCAGGAAATGCCGAAAGCAAAAGGAGTCTCTGTGTGTGGGGTCACTGTCCTTTCCTCATTACAGATGTGAAGAAACTCAGTGTAGCCTACCCTAGCACACAGACCTGGACACAGTGTGGCTGGATGTCTGGTCTCCAGGCTCTGCTGTCCCCTGCTTTCTGCCCCTGAGACACCCACATCAACACAGGATCAGGTCGTGGCCTGTTCAAGTGGTACAAGAAGCAAGGTTCACTCAGGGGAGATCTAGGAGAATGGACAGTAGAAGAAGAATGAGAGAGAAGTTAGTGGCTGCAGAAGCTAGGGGAAAATGCTGGACGGAGTGGGGAGAAAGGGCCAAAGGGGCTGTTTCCCATCTCCTGGAATAGTGAGAGGGGTAAAAAGGGGGTTTGAGCCACATGCTAGTTCAATGTCACAGAAACCCAGGCACAATCCGAAAAGTGAGTTCCTTGGGAAATGGAACTCAGGGCAGCAACTGTAAACTAGAGGCACAAAATCTGAAAAATACTGAGAAAAAATCCTGAGAGATAGTTAAAGGGGCTCAGGTGCTTATCTTGTAATGCAGAAGATCCAGGTTGGATCCACAGCACCACACCTGGTCCCCTGAACACTGCAAGGGGTCACATCTGAGCACAAAGCAAGAAAAAGCCCCTAAGTACTTCTGGATGCGATCCTAACTCCCCTTCTCCTCCAAAGAATAGTGAGCAAAAACTTTCAAGCCTGAATTTAAAATGGGCATAACATATCCAGCAACCTAGCGGGCCAGGTTCCTTTGACACAAACCAACATCTGGCAACAGCCTCTCTTTCTCTACTACAAAAAAAAAATGCACAGCACTGAAGGCTTTGAAACAAAAAGGCAGACCCAAAATATCACATCTTAGGCAAATGAGCTGAACATCCCTTTGAGCAACGCCCTACTTTTTCCACCCATCGCAAGAGTCAGAGGACACCTGACATGGTATGGAGGTAAAAAAGTAAAGCAATTCCTGGCCCTTATGACTTCCTGAGGGCACCACCCTGAAATGACATCACGGAAAGGCCGTAGGCTTCTAGATCTGCCGCAGGACAGTTTCTAGGTGACAGCCGAGACTCAGCCAGTGGCTGGAGAGTGTGTGTGCGCCTCTGAGAAACTCACTGCCTTCAGAGGTCAAGCTTCAGCAGAACGACTGGCAGGCCATCACATCCCCCCCCCTGCCCCCAGGCTGGGCTCCCCCAGAGACATAATGCCAATGTAGGTTATACCCCTTTTGCTTCTTGATCATTGGGATGGAAACAAAAGCAACATTAGCCAGAAAAAAGAGAAGTCTGCCTTTTCCTCCAGTCCCAGTTCACGGTGTACAGGGCCTCGTCTCAACTGGGCAGCGTTCCCAGGGGGTGGCAGAAGTCAGGATGTGGCAGACAGAAGGCATGGAATCCTTTGTCTTAATTAAAAAGTCTGGGGGGGTGGGGGTGGGGGAGAGTCATGGAATTCGACCAGGCCTCATAAATCTGCTGCAAGAATCCAGACTCTGTCAGATAAGCCGAAAGAGAAGCACCAGCACCCTCGGGAGAACACAACAGCTTCCTGCCAGCTCTCGACGCCCCTCTCCTGTCACTCTGTGGCACAGCAGGGATGTGCCTGCGCTCATTACCCAGCAGCCCTCCTCCCCACAGATGACAAGTGTGTCCCCACGGAGCGTGACATTCAAAGATGATGAATTTACTCCTGCTTGTGCAAGGGAACATCTTCCCCAAGCCATCAGAAAGGTGGTGAGCCTTTTAGGGAAGCTCCACATCACCCAAGAACCTACCTTCATTAGCAGGGCCTGGTCTTCCCTGTCGGGACAACACCGCACAGCGAGGGAGAACTGCTCTAAAGTCACTGCAAGGAAAGAGAGAGCTGGTGAGTGGCTGCCATCAGCACTTCTGGGCTGGAGGAGAACATAGTAGGAGCCAGATTTGGCCTGGAAGTTGTCCCACTGTCAGCGAAGATAATGGGCTCAGTTCCATCACTGTGCCCATCTGCCAAGCAACAGAACATCTGGGGGTTGGCTGCCAAATAGTCCACCCTATTCCCCAAAGGCAGGCTGCAGCTATAGCATAGCAGCTAGGGCGTTTGCCTTGCATGAGGCTAACCCGGGTTCAATTCCTCTGTCCCTCTTGGAGAGCCCAGCAAGCTACCAAGAGTATCCCGCCCGCATGGCAGAGCCTAATAAGCTCCTCATAGCATATTCGATATGCCAAAAACAGTAACAACAAGTCTCACAATGGAGACATTACTGGTGCCTGCTTGAGCAAATCGATGAACAACAGGAGGAGAGTGCTACAGTGCTATCCTCCCAAAGGCAATGTTGTGTTTCCTTGTCCCTATTACTCTGGTCTGGAGATGAAGATGAAGATGAAGATGAAGATGGCTTTGAGAAACACCAGTTTCTATGAAGATTTTGATTCAATCTCCCATATATATATGGGAGTTTGCTTGTTTGGTTAGGTATTTTGGGGTTTTTTTGTTTGTTTGTTTGTTTGCTTGGGGGTCACACCTGGTGATGCTCAGCAGTTACTCTTGGCTCTGCCAGGGTAACTCGCAGGCCAATGCTGACCCATGCAGAGATCCTTTCTTATGGGTTCTTTTAACCCAAGAATTCCTGTCCCCCAGAACAGCTCCCCCATGCTTGCTGGATAAGGATGGGGAGTATTGGATATGCTCATCAATACTGTGGGTTGGATGAGGATGGGGAGTATTGGGTGTGCTCATTAATACTCTTTCTAAAGGACAACTGAGCAGATGCCAGGCTCAAGGGACTATGCCAGACTCAAGACTAGACTTTGTTATTATACAGGGAGTTGGGTGGGGGTCCTAAGGAGTGTTTAGGAGGCTTGGGAGCTCCACTGGTGATTCACAGCTACCTGGGCTGGCAGGGCAATGCAAGTGCCTGGGGATACAGTGCTACTCATGTCCTGCGGTGTTTAGGATCCCCCAGGTCACCAGGGCAATACTGGGGGCCTCCAGGGCTGCACCTCAGGGTTCTCAGGGGAACATGTGGTGTCAGGAACCTACCCAGCCATGCACAATAACCGCTCAAATGTCTCCTGGCCCCATCAGGTACAGATCTAACAGCAAATGCTTCATGGGTTTTTTTTTTTTTCGGTTTTATGTTTTGTTTTTTGGGGTTTTTTTTTTGCATTTTTGGGTCACTCCCGGCAATTAAAAGGGGTTACTCCTGGCTTTACACTCAGGAATTACTCCTGGCAGTGCTCTGGGGACCATATGGGATGCTGGGAATCAACCCTGGTCAGCCGCAGGCAAGGCATATGCCCTACCCGCTGTGCTATTGTTCCAGCCCCAGCAAATGCTTCATGAGAGATGCAGCAAGTAAGCATCAGTTTCTGCTGCAGCCTGACATTTTAGTCCTGCCTGTGAGTCTGTATGTGACGCAGTTTGACTATGGTTGAGAGGAGAGTCTGGAGAAAAACAGGCCCACAGCTCTCGAGCATGCCTGGTCCGCTAAGACTGCAGTGGTCTCTGACAGAACCCAACTGTCTTCTTTTCACTGCTTAAAACAGTCTTTTGTAGACACAATCAGAAAAACTCACCCACATGTTCATGATCTGGAATGGGTTCTTAGAAAATCAATTTGTCTTAAACTGCTCAGACTAATGAACTGCATTAAACTGCTCAGGAATAAAGAACTACAAAAGGCATACGGTGCAAGGAATTCCAAACTTCACTGCATCAAAAAGCAAGTACATTTTAAAAATCAGATATTTGAACATTTCTGTCATGTTACAATTTCCTGCTTTTGTACATAAGAAACTTTGAGTTTTAGTTCATGCACTTTCAGCTGTACACAGAGAAAAGGTTAGACTCACCCAGAGCAGGACAACTTAAACCTTTTCCACATGCAACCCCTTTCTGTCCTAGAACTTTTTATGCTACCCCAGGTGTATAGGTATAGAAAACAGGTGCAGAAAGCAAACATTTACTGATAATAAATCAGACAGACATTTATTTTAAAACAAAACATTTCAAGGTGATGCACTGCCATCTAGGGTTGTGACCTAGAGCTTAAGAAGCTATGCTACAAGTTCTTGCTGCGATCTTGAACACACCATTATTTTTACTCAGAATTCCAGAAATTCATGGAAATTTCTCCTTTTATAGGATGCCTATTAAGAGACAGTCTCTGAATGGTGCTCAAGAAAAATATCACCATAGAGAGCTTCCTTCATCACCATCTCCCTGATCTCTCCAAGAAACTGATATTATATACATTTCCCAAGTTTTGAACATCCACTTTGAAATACCAGATTAGGGGTCCTATGCCAGTAAAGGCAAGTGAAACAGCAATACAAAGAACCTTTCCATTATCACATGATCATTTCCCTGCTAACATTCAAGACCACTTTAAGCAGATATTAAAACACTTTAAATGACTGCATCTCAGAGGAATGAATGCCTCCTTCCCCCCGCACCCCAGCCCTTTCTTTCCAGTACTGCTCATGTTTCTCGGCAAAGGCCATCATTTTCAAGTTAACAGACTAATCTGTTTTCTCTGCACGTAAAATCCCATCACTCAGAAGCAAAGAGAGAAGTAAATTCACAGAGAGAAAACATGGCACTATTTTTCCTCCTGACATTTGGGGGTCTATGATAGGTTAAAAAAATGATGTTTTTATCTCTGGTAATTTATCAAACTCTAGATTTCATAAAAGATAAACAGATGCACTGAAGAAAGAATACATCATCTTAATGCTTCATTCTGACACCCAGAGTAGCAAAAGAGCATGTGTATCACACGGTCCTCTCCACACGCTCAAGTTGCCCAAGAGTTATGCATGTCATTCTGGGTTTCAAAACACGATGAAGTGACAGCGTGTCAGGAGGCACCTCTAAAGAAAACGGTCACAATTGAAACATACAGATTATTTATAGCCAGAAAACTCAGAGCTGAAAGAAACCTGGTTGTTGACAGAAAGTTGCTTTTTCTGTGTGTTTTTTTTTCTTTTCTGTAGTTCATTTTGGTTTTTGTGTGGGTGGCTCATAGGAACTCAAAGGTTATTTGCTAAATGTTGTGTGAGATTAGAACATGATGTCCTTTAAAACCTAAACACATTTGCAAACACATTTAACTTTAATCAGGTGAAATATGGAATCAAATTTTTTTTCTTTTTGGGTTTTTGGACCACACATCCAGGTTTTTTGGACCACACCCAGGACTTACACCTGGCTCTGCACTCAGTAATCACTCCTGGTGGGTTAGGGGGACCACATGTAGTGCTGGGGACTGAATCTGAGCCAGACACATGCAAGGCAAGCACCCTCCCCACTATACTACTGCTCAGGTCTCCAGAGTTTTCTGTTTTTGTCTTCTTTTTTTCCTCTTGGTGGTGGGTAGGGCATACCCGGTAGTGCTCAGGGCTTACTCCTGACTTTGTGCTCAAGGATCACTCCCAGAGGGCCTTAGGGGACTCTATGGTGTAATGAAGGATTAAACTTGGGTCAGCTACAGGCAAAGCAAGTGCGTTTCCCACTATTCTCTCTCCAGCCCTATAAAATCAGAATTTTCTAGACCATACTAGAACTGATACAAGACAAGATTCCTAAACTGCTGTGTTCATTTGCGGGCTGGAAGGCTGTATTTTAAGTCCTGGTTCCAGAAGGAATTCTGCCATCCTGGGAACTCAGTCCCAAGCTCTTCCTTTTCCATGTTGTGTGATTCTCTCAACAACTACCCGGGCCCTGCTCAAGCCTTAATTTGAAGCCACTGAGATGATGATAAGTCATCATCATGATGTCTCAGGGATGCGTTTTCCAGCCAAACAAAGGGATGTGAAACAGAAGGAAACACTGCAAAATGGCAGAGGAGCTTAGGGATGAAGGTCACTGGCAGAGAACACACCTTACATACAGGAAGGCCACGAGGTTGGTCCCTGGCACTACCCCACAGACCCAAAAGAAAGCAATGTGCCTGCCAACTACAATCCCCAGTGCCCTAAGGGCAGTCCTCAGCATTGAGCTACCACCTAATGTGCTATCTCAGCACAGGCCATCCAGTGTATGAGCACCACAACCGAGGGTGCTGCCACCTGGTGCACAACCCCTCACAGTAACACCACCACCAACCTAGTGGAGAGGGACTATTTTTCTTGTAGGGCTACCAGATTCAACCCCGATAAGCACTTATGTGCCCAGCCAAAGAGGGTAAGGGCAGCTTCTTCCCATCGGGTGGCACTGAGCCACTTACGCAAGATTTCTAGGACTCCACTTCTTTCTTGGGCATGGCGCTGAGAGTGGGTGTTGCCTCAGCACCTTGGTGGGAGGGTTCAGGACATAACTGCCCACATTTCTTGCCATGCTGAGCCCTCCCCAGGGTGCTTACTCTCCTCAGGATGAGAAGGTCCTCACACAACTACATTTTTTTTTGAATCACCGTGAGATATAGTTACAAGCTTTCATGTTTGGGTTACAATCACACAATGATCAAACACCCATCCCTCCACCAGTGCACATCCCCCACCACCAATATCCCCTGTATAACCCCCCCTTTTCCCACCCTCCCCCTGCCTCCATGGCAGACAATATTCCCTACACTCTCTCTCTCTACTTTTGGGCATTATGGTTTGCAATACAGACCCTGAGAGGTTATCATGTTTGGTCCTTTATCTACTTTCAGCACACATCTCCCACCTGACCGATTTCTCTAACCATCATTTTCTTAGTGATCCCTTCTCTATTCCAGCTGCCTTCTTCCCCGCCCCCCCCACCCCTCCACGCCATGAGGCAGGTTTCCAACTATGTAGCAACCTTCTTGGCCCTTGTATCTACTGTCCTTGAGTGTCAGTCTCATGTTATTTTATTTTATATTCCACAAATGAGTGCAG